CAAGAAGGTTTTAAAATAAGTTGTCTAAAAAAAGAAAAGAATAAAATTCATATTCAATTCAATTAAATTTCCTGTTAAACTAAAGTTGCAAGACCTTTTTGATTCTTTGGACTTCTTGGTGATTTTATTTACCAAACTTATTGTAGCTGAGTTGACGGACCCGGCATGGCGAGATGTGATAGAAAATGGAGGGCTGCACATCGGAAGCGGAAGAACTAAGCGATTCATCCAGCTAAACACTAACCAGGTACTCTTTATATCATTCTCTTTAGTGCCTTTTTTTATTGCTTAGTTTGGTGGACGAGCTCACAGCCTGGTGTTAAGTGGTTACTGGAGCCCATAGACATCTACAACATAAATGAGACACCCATCTTGAGATATAAGTTCTAAGGTCTCAAGTATAGTTACAACGGCTGCCCCACCCTTCAAAGCGAAACGCATTACTGCTTCACGGCAGAAATAGGCAGGGTGGTGGTACCCACCCGTGCAGACTCACAAAAGTCCTACCACCAGTAAAAGTACCTTGGTTGGCAGCCGACCATACGGCACTCCTGGTGGTGATCACCCTAGCGCATGGACGTTAACAATGCCAACACAGCATGCATATGCATTATTAATCAACAAACAAATTTTTAATCAACAATGAATGCACTAATCATAAAAATCGTAGTAAATCCTAAAACGATTTGACTCCGACTAGTGACATTAGAGACAAATATGACATACAATATAATTTGCTGAAAATAGGTGTTTCTTGCCTAGAAATAGGAACCCCCAAAAGAAAGAGTAGCAGCCTTGTCTAAATATTATACCTCCTTGCGTCGGTTTCCTCATTACTGAGGGTCGTGGTCATGGCCTTGAAACAGTTTAAATGTTTCTCTGTCCATGACTCTCTTGGGATGTAATTGTGGTGGGTTCCCACGTCCTTCCACATCAGTATTTCGAAGGGATTTAGTCCTTCACGGCAAACTGGTCCCGCTCCGGGTCTCTGGTTGTATCCGGGGGCTTGGTTATTTCCCGCCGCCCAGTGCTCGGCGTTGACGTTTTACGGTAGGAATGTCCAGCTCTACTCAATCCTCCTCTTTTCTCATCCGGGCTTGGGACCGGCAATGGCAGAGTTGAAAATATTATACCATCACACATAAATAATATAACCAGCAGCGGCTTGGCCCTTGGCATTGCTGAAGTTCATGGGCGACGGTAACCACTCACCTTCCGGTGGGCCGTATGCTCGTCTGCCTACAAGGGCAATAAAAAAAAACACAGACCCGTACTTACTGGTGACAGAGTCTAATGGGACAGCACAGTAATAAATTCCACCATCCTTCCTATTTATGCATAGCATACAACCATTGAGGTTTGAATGGGAGAATATACACAACAATATAGATGTCTATCTACCTCATGGCGGCATTCATAATTGCATGTCTATGATTTCTTCACATTAGGTAGGCCGTGAACAAATCTAGCTATTTACAATAAAAAGACTGTCGGTACGCGAGAAATGTTACTGAAAAGAATTTCTAGACGCAACCCAGTTTTATGTTACGACATTGTTGTAGGTCTCCTCTTTACTGGTGGTAGGACCTCTTGTGATTCCGCACGGGTAGGTACCACCGCCCCGCCTATTTCTGCCGTGAAGCAGTAATGCGTTTCGGTTTGAAGGGTGGGGCAGCCGTTGTAACTATACTGAGACCTTAGAGCTTATATCTCAAGGTGTATGGCGCATTTACGTTGTACATGTCTATGGGTTCCAGTAACCATTTAACACCAGGTGGGCTGTGAGCTCGTCCACATATCTCGGCAATAAAAAATAAAAAGGTCTGATGCCGCGAAACTAATAGTATAATTAAATGATAAACTAAATACTGCTACGCTTAATTTTAATGCTATGCTAACTGTTTAATTCAATCACGACCATGTAAATGATAGATTAGTGGACTAATGGCGCCGAACAAGTCATTTCCACGTCTATACGATTTTACTGCAAGCGTTTCTTGTTTTTGTTTCAAATGGATAATTACATTCACATGTTGGCGATTCTTGCACTTCCTTCAGCTGGTAAAATTAAGCTGCACGTGCAGATACCACCACGCTGGTGAAATGCGATAAGGTTTCAAGGTTTGAGACAGCCCTTATACTATGCGTCATCGCCACATCTGATCTATGGATGCCCGATCCCGGAATGCCCGGATATGCAATCAAAAATCTATCTTTTAGTTTCTTTATTATTTACAAAATAATAATATTATAATAATAATCTTTATTTTTCGAAACATCATAGGCTCATAGTGTTTTAGTATTACAAATAATTTAAAAAATGATGTTAGTAAATAAAAAAATTAAATCAAATCCGTCCCTGGTAGCCCCTTCAGGCACCATGTAGAGTATTGTAGAGCATGCAATTTTATGAACCTACCCAAAGTCGGTCCATCCAACCTTCTGCTTATCCTCTCAAGACCTTATAGGTGCTTCCTTCTATAGCTTCACATTTATTTAAAACATTATCTTACAGGCTAACATCCCCTACCAGTCATGCACACTGCCAAACGGAAAGGCAGGTCGATGCAGACAACTCCGGCACTGCATTCAAGAGGACTTCAAGAAAGATTACCTTGTCTTTATGGATTACGTATGTGTTATCGAAAGGAGGTTGGTACAAATTTATTTTTGTTCCCATAAATGTATAGGTATGTGTAATACCGACTTAAGTGCAAAAACCTAAGTCCATTGAGTTGAGTTGTAAGCCTTGATTGTGACGTACAAGATTTTATACCGTCCTTCGTGGAATACCGCCGTACGGTGTAGACTGCGACTTTTATAACAACCAACTCGACGTCTCTTGAGGTGCAAACAACATATTTTTTTATTAAGCCACATGCAAATCCGACCTCTTATCTTTGCTAAGCTCTGTATTAGCGGATTTCGAAGAATTGCAACGGGGTTATTTGGTTTAATGGGCTCAAAATCCAAGACGTAGGGCGATGAATTGGCGAAATCAGACCAAAAAACCTACCAACCAATTGTTACCAACCTACCAATTGTCTCACAGATTATGTCCTATAGATGTATGTCCCATAGATGTACTCATCTCTTTTTGGTGTCACTCTTTCGTTTTATCGAAGCAACGGTACAAAATTAGTTTTCCCTTCAATAAAAAAACAAAAGGTTCTGTGTACCATAGAGTAAGTACGTTCTTAACGTAACTTTTTTTCCTACCTAAACTGGTAGCCTTGAGTGGCTGTGCCAGCGCAACCTAACGAGTAGGTGAGCTCTGGGGGCTCTAAACTGGGGACATTACTAAAACTTAAAGGCAACACTATTTAATATGTGAACAAAAATACCAAACGCTCATCCAAAATTATATTATTTTTCATGATTATCTAGTATCTACGTTCATTTTAATACACAAAATATTTTGTAACTTCCTGTATGTTCGTTTATCTGTTGTCACGGAATTAATCAGTCAACTAGCAAAATCCGATGCTCATAATATGTATATTTCTTTTTTTGTGTGGGTTTTTTTTTTAATTGTGGATAAATTCACGAAGTATCAATTAAGACGAAGGAATTAAGAGTGAAGTAATTGAGACGAGATTTTTTTATTTTTTATTTTATTGCTTATATGGATGGACGAACTCACAGCCCACCTGGTGTTAAGTGGTTACTGGAGCCCATAGACGTCTACAATGTAAATGCGCCACCCACCTTGAGATATAAGTTCTAAGATCTCAGTATAGTTACAACGGCTGCCCCGCCCTTCAAACCGAAACGCATTACTGCTTCACGGCAGAAATAGGCGGGGCGGTGGTACCTACCCGCGCGGACTCACAAGAGGTCCTACCACCAGTGAAATGTTCTAACGTCGGAAATTGCCTCGAAAATCTCGAAGTTTCTCTTGGATATGTATTATCATTATTTCTAATTCATAGTTCGATTGGTGTTTGCTGCCCTGAGAATGAAGTTAAAGAAGGCATAGAGGCTCTGGCTGGAGATCTTCCTGCTACCGCTCCTAAGAACGAAGATGACGAAATCCTGCTGAAAATAAACAGAGCAGAAAATAGAGGTAATATTGAGTGTTCTTTGTTTTAAAACCAGAAGACTGCCGAGATAAGAAGACGGCAGACATCACATTCCACCTGTCTTACCGTATACAAAAATGATTACCTGGGCGATACGAGAACACCGGATATGTCTTATTCTTTAGACCACAACTCCATACAAGTAATTTTTTTTATATTTTTTTATTGCTTCGATAATAATAAGTAAATAATAACAAACGGCTGCAATATCGTTGTCATCTAAACAACCCGAGAAAGAAACAAATTCCGTGAACGTCAATTGTATTTTAATCCTCACCATGAATTATTACAAGATAGTTCAACAAGTTTTAAAATTTTAACAACACAACAGATGATTGTAGATTAATGGTGAAATTAATTATAGATAAAAGCAATCGAGTGAACGTTTAATAGCTAGATTTAATTAAAATAATTAAAATCAATAATTAAGTTAGTAGTATCGGTATTAACCTGCTTAATGCAATAGAGTGACAGTACTGACAATATTACCTCATGCCGCAGACTAAGCTCTTAGCGTAACGAATGATCAACAACCGCTTTAAAAGCTGTAAAGTACATACTGTATTAACATTTTCTTCGATTTTCACGAGTCGTACACATACAATTAATTATTACGGTTTAATCTATCGTTTTTATGATCATTATATGTGTTATTTTTCCCGACCTATTTGCTAGTAGCTTAAGGATTCCAGCTACACGCCGACAAATAGGTGAGCTCACTCACGGGCTCAACCTGAGAGAACTTGTTAACCATAACCCTTGCAAGAGTAGTGCTTCCCAGCATCTACCACCGAATCGGAATTCCAACCCGCTGAGAAAGTTCAGTGGGTTATGTCTATAAGTTAGTTCGCTTGTCGAACTCGCCAATTACGACAAATAGTTCAACGAGGACGATGCTTGAAGAGCCTAAAAGCACCGAAAGAAGTGGAAGGTTTCAGGATGTTTCATGTAATTCTTAAGTACGGGCCATGATAAACTCCTTTGTTTCATTCCAATTTTAATATATCAACGTATAGATAATCACGTTAGTCACAAAAACTATTAAGTGAATATATATGTACCTATATGACATTATTTAAACGCTGTTGTGCCGATACGATTGAATTTTGACTTTAACAGGTTGCGGTCTAAGCACTCGCGCTCAAGGTAGAATCACTGGGTCCAGACCGGCTAATCCTCGTGAATGGCCATGGATGGCGTCGATCACGCCATACGGATTCGAACAGTATTGCGGCGGGGTCCTCATCACTGATCGACACGTGTTGACGGCCGCACATTGTACAAGAAGGTACAAGTCTTAAAATTAAATCAACATTTTCTAAATAGGTCCTTTATTATGACAGTAAATAGATAGATGAGAGATAAGGAGAAGATATAAGCGCGAGACTATCTTTAAGTCAGAAGGAAATCACTTTACTCCCGCCACCGACCAAAAACTCAACAACCTCGGATGAGATAAAATTTAAATGGCACGGGGTGTGGTGACGCGTATAAGCACATATCTCGCCCCATCCTACTGATCCTACTACCACTGTAGTTATTGGCACCACGATAAGCGAACCTATCTGCGAACCTATCTGCGAACTACTTGGGGCCCATCACAACAGAGTCGCTTACTAACGCCCCTAAGATTCCCAGCTTTAACAGAACAAGTGGGGGACGAGAAGTGCGTAGCCACGCACTTGGTCACTGCGTCCCTTCTTCCATATCGTCGTTAATCTCGCGGCGACGTGAGGTTAAATACTCAATTGCATTACATAACACCAAGCTTGCCCTTCGAACCGAAACAAATTACTGCTTCGTTACTATAATAAGCAGGATGATAATCTGAGCGTCCGAGGTTCGGCCTCTTAATATCCGACCTTGCAAGAGCAGTGCTTCACTGAATCCACATCGGAATCGCGACCCACTGAAAAGATCTCACGAGAAATTCAATGGGTCGTATCAGCTAATAACCTAAACTAAAGAGAGCTTTGACTAATATTCCCCTGTTCTTGATCAACCATTTCTTTGTAAGCCTTGAAAACGAGATGATTCTTTCAACAGGTGGGATGCCGACGAATTATACGTACGACTTGGTGAATACGACCTGCAGCGCACTAACGACTCCCGCTCTTACAATTTTAAAGTGGTGGAGAAGATCCAGCATCCTAACTTCGAGCTGTCGAGCTATCATAACGACATCGCCATTCTGAAGCTCCACAGGCCAGCTGTGTTTAATACATATGTTTGGCCAATTTGTTTACCGCCTGCAGATTTGGATCTTACTAATGAAATCGCTACAGTCATTGGTAAGTATTTTTAATGTTATTAAAACTATAAATGAGTTGTATGACTCAACTACTAAGAGTCCAATGGCGACGATAACCAATCTCCAATGACCAAATGGCCGTGCGCCCGTTTGTCTTTAAAAATCCAAAATAAGTAAAATGGTATATTGTTCTGCTTCATCGCAATCAACTAGATCCAATAACCAAGATTGTAACCAACTTGGAGTACTTTTCGTCAGGACTCATCAGTAGAAAATGTTGCCAATACCAAAGTGCTGGCGTCTGTAATTCGTACTAACGACTGAGCTAATTTCATATATTTAGCTATGGATAAGTTAGAAGATCTAACACAAAAAAACTGTCTTACTAATTAATCAGAAGATACTTAGCCCTTTTGAAAACCACTATGTCCCTATGATCATTCTCCGATCACAGAGTGTCGTCACCTATTTTTCCTAACGATGTGTGTTCCCCTAATTCCTATCTAGCTAGTAGTAGGGGATGTAGTGAGCCTTTTACAGATTAGAACGAAAGCACTGATGCGTTCTAACTAAGATGGCTGTTCTATAGCATTGTCTATAAACCATGAAGAAAGCTATACCTTTTTAATTTAAAATATCACATTCCAATCATCAGCGACATACATAATAAATAATAATGTGTGGCACGTGATTTAGTATTTTGTACTAGAGCCTTAATTATACCACACAATCAAATATATACGTATGTTTTCTTGAGCGCATCACTTGTTGTGTAATTCTTAATTGTAAATTGTACTGCCCCCCTCCTCGAACTGCAACGCATTACTGCCTCACCGCAGAAACAGGTAGGGTGTTGACGCCTATCTGTGCGGGCTCACAAGCCGCCCTACAACTAGTAATCACGTGTTATCACGTTAAGTTTCGTGCTGATCCACTGAAGAACGCAATTTTTTGTAGGGTGGGGAACTCAGTGGTACGGTGGTCCCCACAGCAACGTGCTCATGGAAGTGTCGGTACCTGTTTGGGAACACAAGAAATGCGTAGATGCGTTCGTCGATTCCGTGTTTACCGAAACCGTTTGCGCTGGTGGACTTGAAGGCGGAAAGGATGCCTGTCAGGTAAAGTCCAAAAACAGCTTTGTATATTACGAAATTCTAAATCCAAGCTGATAATACATACATGATAGGAATGTACAAGATTTAACATATTACATTGCACAAGCACAGCAGTGCACACAAAAAAAATCCGGTAGGCAGCGGCTTGGCTGTGCCCCTGGAATTGCTTACGTCCATCATCATCATCATTATCCTGCCCTTCTCCCAGTCACCTGGAGTCGGCGGAACATGTATTCTCCTTCCATACTCTTCTATCATAATACCATTTATTATTATTATATATTTATTCGCTCACTCCCTTCTTACCCATATCGTAATTATCGTTCACGTAATCCATCCATTTCTTCTTAGGTCTACCTCTTCCTCTATATCCATTCACAGTTAACATTCTCTTACCAACCTCATTTTCATTTCGTCTCATCACATGTCCACACCATCCCAAACGCGCACTTATCAGCTTCTATGTCACAGGTGCCACTTTCAGACTTCCTCTAACATATTCATTCCGTATTGTATCCATTCTCGTTACACACATCCATCGCAACATTCGCATCTCTGCTGCATGCAGAATTGAAATTGCTTACATCCATGGGACGGCAATTAAAAAAAAGTTTGCGAACTTGGTAAACAGATTTTTTTTGTTATTCTTGTTACGTTTTTTAAAGGTTTTTTTTGCGTGTTTCAGGGCGATAGCGGAGGCCCGTTAATGTACCAGATGTCAAGTGGACGTTGGGCTGTAGTCGGCGTTGTGTCCTGGGGTCTGCGTTGTGGGGAGCCTAACCATCCCGGTCTATACGCTCGGGTCGATAAATATTTAGACTGGATCCTATTGAATTCTCGCTTCTAAAGTCTGGACAGAAAGACTCAGGAGTAAACGCATTATGCCCAGAAGTCAGATATCATGCTAGTTTTTTAAATTTAAACTCAAGCGCCAAAATACAATCAAACTGATAATTTTATCATTATGTGTTTAATATAAATAAAACTAGTTTTACAGTTTTATCTCTTGTTTTTTATTGTCATTATATTATTTCTGACTTTTCGAATACTTTATCGTTTTCGTGGTCAGGAACATAGTTGAATAATCGGATTCCAATTAAAAACCTTAGGGTCATCCGTAAATGTAGTTTTAAACACGCGAAAATCTAAGAAAATACTATTATGTGGTCACTCTTGGTCAGTCTTAGATTTAGGAAATTAAAAGAAAAAACTTATAAGCATTGAATTACAGTTTGTTATCTATATATTAATACGTGAAGTAAAAACTTTGTACCCCTTTTTACGAAAAATCCGCGGATGGAGGAGTATGAAATTTCCCACACTTATAGAGAATATAGAGAAGGAGTGCACAATGATAATTTTTTTTTTTAAATAATGCATAAAAGATACATTAAATCAATAAAGAAAACCTTAGACACACTACCATGTATTTGATACACACACATATATATACTCTTTGTTTATTGTCAAACTTCAGTTAATGCTTAAAGTCTGGTCAAATTGAAAATAGGTTAATATAGTTTGTCTTTATTAATATTTGTCTATAGTGTAGTCTTGGCGAAATCTGTGAATAAAGAAGTATAATCATCTTCGACAATAGAACCTTAATAATGTTCAAACTTATAATTTCAATTAATTATAGTCGAATTTCGACTACTGCGGGACCACTAGTTAATAATTATTATTTTACGGGAACATTTCCTTAGTGATCGCTTCGCCGGATTCCTTCACTGCATTAAGCATTTCTATTACTTGATTTTCATTTAGTTCTGGATGGAAAGTAAAGGCCAGTCGAAAGAAATTCTTGTGCTGTCGTAGCGGCGAGTAAGCTACCATCAGTTTCGAAGTCAGCGTTAGCTGCTCTTTAATTTTTGGTGTTATCTGAATTAAAGACGAGCGACTGTTATTATTGAGTTACTTCCTATTAATATATGTATGTTTGTGGATTAAGATTGTTTCAATTATTATTTTATTAGAATGGGTGAACGAAATCACGATCCATATAGTACCTATTATGTTGTTATTGCAGCCCATAGACATCAACAGCATAAATGCCGCCACCCACCTTGAAACATTTTTTTTGATAGCTTAGATGGTTGGACGAGCTCGCGTCCTACCTGGTGTTAAGTGGTAACCGGAGCCCATAGACATCTACAACGTAAATGCCGCCACCCTCCTCGAGACATAAGTCTGAATTCTATATTACAACGGCTGCCTCACCCTTCAACCCGGAACGCATTACGGCAGAAATAGGCGGGGCGGTGCTACCAGCCCGTGTGAGCTGTCAAGGCGCCTCGTCTTCGACTATTTTAACTGTTCTTTTTTTGTTACCTGTTAGATAAATACGTCAAACTCTATCTCTAGGCGTGTTGACGTTGTACTTGGCTATGGGCATAAAAAAATTATTAAGAAATTTCCTTTTTTTTTTTTATTGCTTAGATAGGTGGACGAGTTCACAGCCCACCTGGTGTTAAGTGGTTACTGGAGCCCATAGACATCTACAACGTAAATGCGCCACCCACCTTGAGATATAAGTTCTAAGGTCTCGGTATAGTTACAACGGCTGCCCCACCCTTCAAACCGAAACGCATTACTGCTTCACGGCAAAAATAGGCAGGGTGGTGGTACTTATCCGCGCGGACTCACAAGAGGTCCTACCACCAGTTTTTTTAGTTAAATAAGAAAACACAGTGTGTGAAGCAAACGATTGTTAGGGAATTTAGAACTTCAAAGTGAACTATTATTATTGTATTAGATGTATCAATTACCTTGTGCATTAGATCCCACCACTCTTCGTTCTCATCTTTATTCCTCATAAATTTAGGAATGTACCAAAAACACACGTTAGGGCATTGCAGTTTTTCAGAAACCAATCGGAAACCCTCCATTTTCGAAGTGGCACTTAAACAGAACTGTGCTATGCTCATGACTTTGTCGGTTAGTACACTAAGTCCAATGTCTCCACGAGATTTCCACATCATCCAGAGTTTAAACGCGTCTATCTGTTTTAGAAAATGCATTGAATAATAGAAAAAACATATATAAAAAATAAACTAAAACTCCTATTACTAAACTACTATAAAATAATGAATGAATTGAAAATACACGTCTTGTTGTCAATTCATAGGTGTCGTTGAGAAAAAAAAATTACAACCTAATAGCCTTCAGTTAAAACCAAAGATAATATGTTTTTAATTATACCGAATCGTCCAATACATCGGAAAAGATATATAGAGCAGAATACAGTTAGATTATGCTTTATTATAGGTCAAAATAAACACAAATACAAAACATTCTAAGTCGTCGTTATTTTTTTTTATTTTTTTTTTATTGCTTAGATGAGTGAACGAACTCACAGCCCACTTGGTGTTTAGTGGTCACTGGAGCCCATAGACATCTACAACGTAAATGCGCCATCCACCTTGAGATCTAAGTTCTAAGGTCAGATGGACAAGAATAAACAATTTTATCTTAGTCCTAGTTTACTGGTGGGGACCTCTTGTGAGTCCGCACGGGTAGATACCACCGCCCTGCCTATTTCTGCCGTGAAGCAGTAATGCGTTTCGGTTTGAAGGGTGGGGTAGCCGTTGTAACTATACTGAGACCTTAGAACTTATATCTCAAGGTGGGTGGCGCATTTACGTTGTAGATGTCTATGGGCTCCAGTAACCACTTAACACCAACTGGGCTGTGAGCTCGTCTCATCTAAGCAATAATAAAAAAAAGTCCCTTAAGGGTCTATTTTGAAACTACTACATTAATTTTTTTAATTAAAATAAGGTATATTCTATTATGCAGAATCAGGAGAACCAACCTTTCTTCCACACTGAACACTTTTGTCGCCTGTATCATATGAAACGTCATAGAACTTATCCTGTTGAAACAGGTACTGAGCCGCTGCAGAATTAGCTTCGTGAAGCAACCCACGTTCTTTGATAAGAAATACGGAACACTGCAGAGGTGCGCCGGCCATTTTGTGAGGATTCCAAGATATANTCTATTATGCAGAATCAGGAGAACCAACCTTTCTTCCACACTGAACACTTTTGTCGCCTGTATCATATGAAACGTCATAGAACTTATCCTGTTGAAACAGGTACTGAGCCGCTGCAGAATTAGCTTCGTGAAGCAACCCACGTTCTTTGATAAGAAATACGGAACACTGCAGAGGTGCGCCGGCCATTTTGTGAGGATTCCAAGATATAGAATCGGCCCTAAAATAAAAAAACCATTTATGTGTTTATAGATAAAAAAAAAATTGCTAAGATGGGTGGATGATCTTACAGCCCACCTGGTGTTAAATGATTACTGGAGCCCATAGACATCTACAACGTAAATGCCGCCACCCACCCCGAGACATGAGTTCTAAAGTTTTAGTATAGTCAGTTACAACGGCTGCCTCACCCTGAAAACCGAAACGCGTTACTGCTTCACGGCAGAATAGTTTTCAAAGTTATACCATAGGAGCCACTTAATGTTAAATAGCAATTTCCGCTAATCCGATAATAGAAGCAAAGCCGTTTGTAGTTACTACCGAACATAGGACACAAGTTTCCGGAAACACACGAAATAATCGAGGTGTTTGCGAGCCCCTCAACCGTATTTCTGTAACTCCTGTTTAAATAGAATAGCTGAGCGAAGATTTCATAATTTCTAAATTTGAATACCCAAAGTACCAAATAGGAACATCAAATATATCGAATATCAACCAAACGGGAACAATAATAATTTAAATCTTGTATAGTATATATAAAAATGAATTGCTGTTCGTTAGTCTCGCTAAAACTCGAGAACGGCTGGACCGATTTGGCTAATTTTGGTCTTGAGTGATTAGTGGAAGTCCAGAGAAGGTTTAAAAGGTAAATAAATATGAAAATACTCGGAATTAAATAAAAATAACAATTTTGTTTTTTCTTTGATGTGTCCCCCGTCGGACGGATTCCTTTGGTTTGTTTTAAGTTTATTTTATACAAAAGTTTAGGTCTTTTATTTATCGATTGAGGCACTACGAAGTCTGCCGGGTCAGCTAGTCTTGTATAATAAGTAGTACCAGTTGAAGCCAAACCTTTTAACTCCCAGTAATTTGCTTCGGTATTTAGGCGACAACATCAAACTACCGCCCCAACAAGCCTGAAACAGAGTATCCAATTATCCTCATTCTATAACTACATAAGTTACTTCCCTATCACTCGTCCGTGATTGTGTTCACAGCTTTAATTCTTATCTTACTAGTTCTCTTCCAGAATTTGGCCAATTTTACATTTGGGATGAGTATTTTGAATGAAAGTTTATCTATTGTATTGCTTTAAAAAACGCGGTTTTACATTTACTATTATTACTTCTATTTTCGGATCCCGTAATTGTAGGTACACAAAACGTATTTAAATCAAATTTTAAATTTAATTAAAAACTATTTAGAATAAAAAGTTTAATAAAAAAATTGTTTTTTTTTTTGATGCTCAAACGAAGTAACAAAATCTAGATAATAAATGAGCAAATTGAAATACCTATCTGACAATTTAAATAATTTTATTTTTTTATTGCTTAGATGGGTGGACGAGCTCACAGCCCACCTGGTCTTAAGTGGTTACTGGAGCCCATAGACATCTACAACGTAAATGCGCCACCCACCTTGAGATATAAGTTCTAAGGTCTCAAGTATGCTGGCTATGGCTGCCCCCCCTTCAAACCGAATTAATTAGTAGAAGTAATTTTCTTAATTAAAAAATGAACTTACATCAACGTGCATCCAAACGCCATGCTTCTTACAGACATTAGCTATGTCATTCAAATCATCAATAGCGCCCAGGACGGTGGTACCAGCAGTAGCATTAACCAATACTGGATATCTGTTTTCTTCTTTTTCTCTTTCTATAGCCTTTTCAAGTTCACTCACAATCATTTGCCCGTGTTCATTCGCCTTTATGGGACGAAGACTCTCTGTTCCGAATCCTAACCAATGCGCTGCTTTTCTGATTGAGTAGTGGCTCTGTAAAGGTATTATTTTAATTAAACCATGCAAAAATATTCATTGTTGTTATCTTTTTAATAGTCCTATTGTGTAAAAGCAATAATAAATAATAGTTTAAAAAAACTAACAAAATACGCTTTTATAGAAAATGCAACTAAAAAATAGAAAATAAATTTTAATAAAGTTGAAGTAAAAATAGTGTCTTACTTTTTAAACTATTATTTATTTTTCATTTTTTTGTTGAATTTTAATATTTTCAATATATTTTTATATTGAATTGTCATCGGTCCTTAATAAGTATACCAAATTTCGAGTTAAACTGACGTTTTGAAGGGTGTCAAAATCATGTTCAAAGATTTCGTTACAAACATACATACGTCTGAAGCTAACAAAAGCGTATTAAAAATGATTAAGTGGTAACACCCGAAAATTGACTAGAAAAGATAGATCTGTCAGCTTCGACAAACCGACCCGCAGCCTTCAGCTTACCCGTGGTGCTTATGACAGCTCGAAAGATTAGGAACTCACGAAATGTGAGATTCGTGGTAAGAACCGGTTAAATAATATCGTATAGTATCGTATAGTATAAGTAATTTAAGTTTGAACAGCTGCTGCTTTGAGTTAAAGATAGGCAGAGAACAGTGGTCTACCAGTGTGAGCTTGCAACAAACTCTGGTACTGTAATAATATAAATTAGAAGAAAAATAATAACACACACAAAAATATTAATAATTTTGAGTTTTGTATCATCTCGTTTGCATGTCAATTAAGTAACAAAGCCTGAATTTATTTATAAATTCGGTTACCTACTGTGAGCCAAACTCAGAAACTTTCAAACATTAAAAAGAAACATTTCCATAAGCTAGTAATTAATAAGTGGGGAAGTAAAGTAATAATAAATTTCCTTACATCTTCAGAAGTAAAAATGACCATCTCCGGTAAGTTTCTCATGCCTTTCCTCTTGACTTCGGGGAAAGCTTTAAATCTAGCTGCAACCAGAGCATATAACATTGAAACACTACCGCCGGGACTAAAAATACCATCACCGTTTGGGATTCCGAACAAATTGAGAATATGGTTCAAAACTTTGAGCTCTATTAGGGTGAAGACTGGTGCTACCTCGAACGTGTATCTGGAATTATGAAAGTCCCAAATAAATCAACGTATTTTTTTATTGAACTGAAATATTTTGTGAGTATACATAATTAAGTCTTGAAACACTTTAATCCTGCAGAGTATTTTCGGCCCCCACCTGTCCTGGTGAAACTGGAAAAGCCTCCGGGCCACCAGTAATCCTTCAAACATAAAAAAATAGTATTTTCTGTTTGTTCCTATCCAGCAAGATACATGAGATTAACTTTGCTCATATATTTTGCGTGTAAGCTTCCCGACACATGAAAGATTGTTCGTCCCCTTTTAACGCTATGAGTTTTAGATACTTGCATGGACAGACATCGGTCAGCGCTTGCTACTTAATCTCAAATATATTTTTATAAATATTTAACTGTACATAATGCGTCATAATCATTTTTGCTAATAGTCATAGGCCATTACCATGCAAAATTATCTTTGATTATCCACTTTGTTCCATTTATCAAGACACAAACGATTTCTAATTGATTTTGTTCTCAAAACTTACTGGCTAGTGTTAAAAGCCTCAGCTATCCAAGCGCCGGCCAGTCCATATGGATCAGTGCAGCCATATAACTGGTTTTTGAACGTTGCCTTATCTGTTTTGACGCTGTACTGTAAGACTTGTCTAACACACCGCTCCAGGTCATCATCGTTCACTTCCTGACCAATGTCCAAGTCTAGAATGGCCTGAAACATAATTTCCGGTAGTTTTTAATGTGAATCATGTATTGATGTGTCTTCTGGTTGTAAAATCGAATCCTCAAACCGTCATGCCACCTCTGTGCCACCGCTTTCGCTTCTTACCTCCCCTGGGTGTGTGTGTGCGTATACTAGGCACTTTGCTGTTTCTTTGTGTGAGTTGTGTACTACATATACCTTTTTAACGCTTTACTTGATCCGTTAACCGCTTGTATACATACATACTTTGTCTTTCTTTTTTAAGCAACTTAAAAAGTAGGTTACCAATTCGATTATATTTTTTACGCGTTTTAGCTGAGAACTTCTTTCGGGGTAAGCCGATTTCGACGATTATATTTCATTTGAAAGCCGATGATTTTCGTGTGTTCCCATTTTTTTCCAAACATTATCAACATAAAACCGGTAGTTTGTTAGCTGTCCTTAATAATGCACTTTTAATTAATTTCCACTACATTAATGATGTTTTCTTTTTTTTTATTGCCCTTGTAGGAAGACGACTATACCGGCTATTTGATTGTGAGTGGTTACCGTCGCCCATAGACGTCAGCAAAGCCAGGGACAGAGAGGCAAATCGCTGCCTACCGCAGGCACGCAGATTTTGGTGAAGTCCGTTTTTTACTTTTTTATATCATAATATTTTAAATTTGTTTAATCCACATTTCTTTAATGGTTTTCATTCATTATAAATTACTAACACATAATAGCTAACTTTTTTTTTATTATCGCAAAAAATATTCATGAAATGTCGCATACTTATTATTATGTAAATCATGCGTCAAAGTCGGACGGCCATATCTTACGCAGCATTTCTTACTCGTAAGTCGTAGGGCTCTGCTTCATTTACATGGGCTGCTGTGTCTAGACAAAAGCTTTTAGAGTTCTAGACGCAACATTGTTGCAGCATTTTAGACGCAAGTTATGTTTTTCATTGAATTCATCTCGAAAAAGTTTGCTATAACCAAGGAACTCTGAAACTTAGTTAAGATACCTGATAGTCGCGTTTATATTCAAATCTATCAAATAATATACATTTTTGACTTGACTGACTCGACGGTGCCATAGTTAGCGCCCCGGTCTGTTGCGCAGAGGGTCGCAGGTTCGATTCCCACATCGGACAAATATTATTGATGAACAGGTTTTTTTGCTTTTCGTGTGGGTGTTCATTATCGTAACACAATTAAATTATATTAAAATTTAACGAACTAAAACAATAAATATCATTAAAAATTACGTGGTAAATGACGTGTCATAAATTCTGCCACTTCCCATTATCAAAAATATACGTTTATGTCAACGCCTCCCGTGAAACAGTTGATTTATTATTTAGAGTTTATTTAAATAAATAAATAAAAACACGGAAAAAGTAAAAGAAAAGGTCGATTTCAAGAAAAATATGAACTCACAACATCGAAATCATACATCATCGTTATCGGCATAATTACATGCAATTTACTATCTGCTTATACAATAGGGCAATGACATCACTAATAATCATAAATAATAAAATAAAATGTCTCGTATTTCGTTAAAGGAATATGAGTCACATCATCCTCACTAGACTTCAATACGGACAACAATGGAATTCATCGTTTTCCTCAGGTACTATTTTTAAAAACAAAACTTTTAGTGCAATGTTATAAGTTATTACCTATAAGTTAATTCCTTCCTTGTAGAGAATGTTCTTTGGCGCTTAAAAAAGAATTCTTTTAGATTTAAAAAAATAAAAGGATTACTAGAGAGATCATGATAGTTTTAAAGCTATTCAAATAGGTACACAAAATATTAATCATTAAAAAAAAATTGGTAGACTCTGAACTTGGAACATACTTTTTGATCTTGTTTGATATTGATGACAAGCGGCAGGCCCGACACCAATGCTCTTTGAGAATTGACAACAAGACTTTGAAAATTGAAAACAAGAAAGAGAGAGATTTACAAAACACACGTAAATTTATATTACTAGGGATCTTCTGTTGGAAATAAACGACCAAATATTGATACAAAAAAAGCATATTAGTTTTACGGCAAAGACAACAGTTAATAGTATCGTCTTCTCCACTGTTTTCAACAGATTTTTTTTTTTAATGGTATGTAGAATTTGATTTTTTTTTTTTATTGCTTAGATGGGTGGACGAGCTCACAGCCCACCTGGTGTTAAGTGGTTACTGGAGCCCATAGACATCTACAACGTAAATGCGCCACCCACCTCGAGATATAAGTTCTAAGATCTCAGTATAGTTACAACGGCTACCCCACCCTTCGAACCGAAACGCATTACTGCTTCACGGCAGAAATAGGCGGGGCGGTGGTACCTNTTTTTTTTTATTGCTTAGATGGGTGGACGAGCTCACAGCCCACCTGGTGTTAAGTGGTTACTGGAGCCCATAGACATCTACAACGTAAATGCGCCACCCACCTCGAGATATAAGTTCTAAGATCTCAGTATAGTTACAACGGCTACCCCACCCTTCGAACCGAAACGCATTACTGCTTCACGGCAGAAATAGGCGGGGCGGTGGTACCTACCCGTGCGGACTCACAAGAGGTCCTACCACCAGTAATTACGCAAATTATAATTTTGCGGGTTTGATTTTTATTACACGATGTTATTCCTTCACCGTGGAAGTCAATCGTGAACATTTGTTGAGTACGAGTATATGATATAGTGAGTTTTTTTTTTAAATCAACAAGGAAGAATAAGAGACTCAATACATAAAATGAACGTAGATATTTAAGCGACAATAACTAAGTGAACAACAATTATAGTATACATAAATAACACTCAATAAAATCCCGATATTGTACAACTATTGAAAATTAATTATGTGGTTAAATTGAATGCGCATTGCGCTAAATAAAACCTGAATTTTTAACAAAGAATTCTGCAGATTACGAAACATGCAACGAATATATTCTAGAAAGAAAAAAAAAACGTTCACCTACCTCTAACTCTTCAGGATGCTTAAAACGTACAAGCGGTACGTCTTTTTTTCTTTCATCTTTTACTATTTGGAGCACTCTGTCCAAGAAAGATAAATCCATCTTATATAGCCTCTACGTAACTCGACATACGTGCTTGTGGTGCCAAAGTCAGTACAACAGTGGGACTGTACCCGACTATACCGTTTTAAGACTATTAATGAATGTCAAAGTGTGTTTATGTGTTGAAGTTGTCACCAGAATGTGCATTTATACGCATGGCCCTGTATAGGGTTAAGTTGAGGTCATAATGATCTTGGCCGAACAATGTTTACAAATAAATGATTAATATTATTCTTTACGCACAGAAATGCTAGGACTGAAGAAATATCTGTTGTTAGAATACGAGATTATTGTTCAGGTGTGATCAAAAATTAACCAAAATTCTCAAATTAAGTGAAAGTTAAATGACGTAATTTAAGTTTTAATCACAAAATGAATTACGAAATTAATCAATTATTTAATTAATAAGCAATCTAATAAGGAACCTAGACAAGAATTTTAATTTATCTCACTAATTATGGAATTTCTGCCTTTATGATAATACAGTGTATTTTTTTTTTATTGCCCTTGTAGGCAGACGAGCATACGGCCCACCTGATGGTGAGTGGTTACCGTCGCCCATGGACTTCAGCAATGCCAGAGGCAGAGCCAAGCCGCGCCTACCGTTTAATACTCTCCACAAGCCTCGTTTGAAGAAGGACATGTCATAGCGCTCGGGAAACACTGTGGAGGGGAGCTCATTCCATAGCCGGATGGTACGTGGCAAAGAAGATCTCTGGAAACGCACTGTGGATGACCGCAGTGGCTCCAGGTAGTATGGATGAACTCTACTCCGGTGGCGGGCGGTGCGATGGTAAAAACGAGATATAGTTTGGTTTATAATTTTAAGCCACCAACATTGAATACCGCGCTGGTATACTGTGCCGACGAACCCATGGTTTTATTTACCACGAAGCAGATCCAATCGCGATTAGATCCTAAACGATTCCAAACATCATTTTAAATAACAGTCTCTCTCTAATGAAAAATATTACTGGTTACATGTAAATATTAAAAGTGTCAACTAAAAAAATAATATGTGGTTTATTTTTATTTCAATTGCTGGAAGATGAGTTTGTGTTTCACCTTTTTTTTTTTTTCCCACAGGAGAAAATCGCCGGATCCCCACCCGCGCGGCAGGTGGGGTATGTGGGAGTTGAACCCACTAAAAACTCCTGCCGCTCACAACCGGCGCCCTACCTCGGACCGGGCCGGAGCCCAGTCGGGGCTATTGAAACGGCGGGACAGGGTTGACGCAGAGCACATTACATCCATCCCACCGTCCCACGGACGTCGGACCGGTGGCCGCCAGCGACACGACCACCGGTTCCCTCGTTCAGCGGGCCGAGAGCCCGCTTTGATGGCGCCGCGTTACACCTTCCCCCAGAGCGGTCGGGGGAACGCGGTCTACCATCACCCGACTTCCTATTGCGGGTGAGCGTGCCAAGCACGCCACCCCACGTCTGGGTCTCTCCCCGCACAAAACGGGTGGGACCCCTAGCTCTTAGGGGGCCAGGTCACGGATACGACCCCGGTCCCGACCCCCTGCTCGGCGACGGCGGGTTTCTGCGTAGTGAGGAGAGCTTTCCCTCACTCGCCCCGCCGCCTCCTTCTGCGAGATGGTGCACTCGCAGAAGTCGAGCATAGCCTTCCATGACTCATCGCTGCCAAGCATCGACGCCACGACGCCAGGCAGCGACAAGTCAGGTCCTATCTTTGCGACCAGGACACGGCGCTGCACCTCCTTGTGTTTGACCTGGACGTAAATCATGATGGTCATGCGCGTGACAATGGTGATTCCACAGCCAAGCTGCTATTTATGCCCTTTTCAAACATGTTTTGGAGAAGAATCGCTGAAGTTTGGGGATCCAAAGATCCTTCCTAGGAATTAGCTTACAATCTGTTACGGTACAACAAATACAAACTCTTTTTAAACTTACAATTTTATTCTTAAACGTCATCAGAGTAATGACAACACCCGAAAACAATTTATTAAAAAAATACATTATTCTACTACATATTTGTTTCTGATTATTTTTATAAAAATAGCTTTTAAGTCAATTTATATTAGAGAACATATTATGTGTATCGTAACCTTATGGATTAGTGATTTTTTAGTGATAAATACAACCTCGTTTTATTAGGCACCCATCAAAATTTAAGTGTAAATTAATAAACGTTAATAAGATATGAATTTTCGTAAAACACGCGCCCAATCCCGAAGAAATTCCATGAACATAATCTTGGACACAGGGAAATGGCAAAACTATGGAAAACGAATATCTCAAAGGGATTTCGAAGCAGAAGAGGAAGAATCTGACGACGAACCCAAGTACAACGAGATAAAGGATTGGGTGCAACAGTTCTTTGAGAGAAACAGTGAATGTTCCGACCAAAACGATCAAGACGTTGAAGTTAAGCTAACGAATCAGCAGACGTTAATACTTTCTACGCTTGTCCCTGATGAAATATTATTGATGGAAAAGTGAGACATTTAAAAATTTACGTAAACACTTCACACGTAAAGTTCAGTTTTTGTCATACCCTTTTCACACACAAAACTCTTAAACTCTTCGTGGCCATTCGCTTCGTTTCCTGGTTGTTCAAATCCCGCAGGCACGTCAATCTTTCTGATGAAATACGCACTTAACACATGCTCACGAAAGCCTTCTACGATAATGTAATAACATTGTATATTAAAAATCAACCCCTCACTAATTGTAATTACTAAACAATTGAGACAGATTTCGTATTTGCGACATTATGATGTCAATGTACTCCGGTAGCTAATTTTTAGCAAGTGAGCCGTGGCATCGTTCATTTGCTTACACAATAAACAACCAAAACTCTCATTTGTATTGACATAATCCTCGATCACACAACAACAAAAATAATTAACGATATAAATAGGCAAGATGTTGATACCGCCCAGTCCCAACGCCAATTTCAAGATAGAAGATAAATAAAGAAATAGATATATAGTTGTGATTGTATCATTTTATCGTATCAAAACCACCTGAGGTATCTATCATCTTTGAAGCTTCGTATTTAATTTGATTATACTCTAAGATTCTAGACAAGATTTTTATTTTAGGTTTGATACAAACGATTTAAAGCGTTTCGTCGGCGTTGTCCTAATGGCTGACGTATCAGGGTATACCGCCCTTTCGGAACGCTACAACAATACTGGTAAAGGAGGAACATACAGACTCACAGTCACCTTGAATACGTACTTGGGCTCGCTCATAGAATTAATATACGCCTATGGAGGAGACGTTTTAAAATTCTCCGGCGATGCATTCTTAGCTCTCTGGAAAACCGACAAACGAACGTTTCTTTGTCATACAATTCATAACGTGATCGCCTGCGCACTAGTTATACAACATTCGTACTCATCCTACGAAACAGATGTCAAAGTCAATCTAAAAGTTAAATTAGCAATCGCGGCTGGAAACCTCTTATTTGCCACAATAGGCACTGGAATTGACATGAACTATGTGCTATTTGGTTTACCCGTAGAAGAAGCCAAAGCAGCCGAAAGTTGTTGTGCATCAGGAGAAGTGACATTGACACCCACAGCATGGGGGCATTGCTATTCAAGAAATTATGACTATACCATTCAACAAAATGGATACGTTACTATTAAGGCCATACTATACGACCCTCGCGAGAGCGATGTTATGAAACCGTTCATAGGCTTCGGTGGTATGATCAGACAAATTAGGAAGACATGTGCGGCAGTTGAGAATCTTCCCGATCATTCTTGGGAAACTTCTGATGGTCTGAGCCATGTAGATTTGTCGAAAAAGATCGAGATGCTTAATTTGCGTAAAGCAATTTTATTAGCTGAAGGGAAAAACATTGGCTCTGAACTAAGAAAGTTTATGATTAGACCGATACTAACTCAAATCGATGCACATCAGCCTCTCGAATATCTTACAGAAATGAGACAAGTTTCCATTTTATTCATTACTTTAAAACCCACAGAATGTCCGTTTCCACAACTGATTACAATTGTTAATAACTCATATCAGATAACATGTGAAATTGTTTACAAGTCAATGGGATGTGTCAATAAAATTATTCTCTTCGATAAAGATGTTATGATGTTGATAATCTTTGGTTTAAGAGGATACAAACACGAGTCCGAAGCGCAAGCTGCTCTTAAGTGCGCATTTAGTATAAAAAAATCAGTTTCAGCTTTAGGTGGGGTTCGAGAAGTCTCGGTAGGGGTAACTACAGGCCAAGTATATTGCGGGGTGGTGGGTCATCCTTTAAGGCAAGAATTTACCGTCATTGGAGCTACTGTAAACAAAGCTGCTAGGCTCATGTGCAAATTTAGAAATAAAATCACTTGCGATGAAACTACTTTTATTCAGAGCAAAATGTCCACAAATGCATTTACTCAACAACCAAAAACCGAATTGAAAGGTATAATTCACCCTGGAAAGATTTTTGAATACACAGAAGATATTCGGGCAAAAGAAATATATGAAATACCAATAATTCCACCACTGCTAAATCGTAAAGAGGAAATAGAGTGTTACCAAAGTTGGTTAGATCAAAATAATACGTCATTCCGACAGTTCGACGCTCTGTTATTGATAGGGGAATCACGAATAGGAAAATCAAGAACCTTAGAGTGGATGGCGCGCTATGCCAGAAACTACAGTTATCATGTAACGTACATCAATTTAACTTCCATCCACTCTGCTAATGCATATTTAGCATTAAGTGAAATTGTCAATCAAATGTTAGATCTTAAAGAGCCAATACATGGTTTTGTCAAAGAAGAAAAGATCGTACAGCTTCTTAAAGTTTATAATGAAGACTTATGCTATTTAAATAAGATAATCCGCGTTCGTTTCGCTTATCAAGACAAGATCCAGTCTTTAAACGAACAACAGCGTAAAGAAAAAACCAAACAAGTTTTTATGAAGCTCTTGAAAGCAATTGCAAATATTCATGTCGTATTTTTAGATGACTTACAAAACCTTGATTCTTTCTCGTGGGAGTTTGTAAAGTTAATGTTCACTACAATGAAGATTTTTACGGTTTTTTCTGTGACACGCGGTAAATTTAGTGCCATTCAAAATTGGCTCTACGACGTC